GGGGTTGGAACTCTCCAGCTCTCGTAGTGTTCGGACTCACGTACAGTAGGAGCAGTAGCTGTAGTTGCAGCTGGCCCAGCACTCCCCACTGCTAGGTTTTCTCAAGGATAGGGAGACTGCCAGAGCCGGTCACTGATGACATGACTTCCTTCCCTAGAGGGGATCAATCTTTCTTAGAGAGCTTGACGACTGGAAAGGTGAAAGACTTCAGCCTATTTCTTGGTCCTTATGGTTGACAATTCCAGCTTACTCCACTCTCCTGAGATCTCTGGGCAAATCAGGGTGAAGTATGCCTGGGATACCGACAACATGACCCAATAAAGTTGGAATGAGGCAAACTTTGGGCTAACATCATTTTGGAAAATTCTTCCCCAATCCAGCAGTTTTTCAGTTATGTGTTCTTGAGAACCACATTCAGTGAGGATGTGTGAACCCCAAAGATACAAACGAAAGAAAAGCAAGGCCAGGTTTGAGGACATCTCCACAGCCTGGCCTAACGGTTCAGTAGCTATGCTTTAATATCTGGCCTTTTCAAAAGGAAACAAGGTTGAGTACCGATAAAAATAACTGGTCACAGCAACTTTTAACAAAAAGAACAAAACAAAAAAACTAGTAATGGCCTCATGTGTCCATCACCTTTCTTATAAATATATATGGACATCTCATCATAGAAGTCCTGTCTTTCCTTTGCTAACAAGCACTACGGGAACTAGGTACCCCAAACACTCTAACTGGGTAAAAGGTTACACAACTCTCTCCTGAACAGAAGTTGACTTTAAAGCTTGTCAGAATAAATCTGAAATGGAAATAATTAAAGTCTATACTGATCTGTATTCTCATACACATGATTACTCTCCCATATTCCATCACCGCAACCTTTGGAGGACGGTTTTATTTCAGAATTCCTTAGTAATAAGAGGTAAAATACCTCAAATAAGCTTTTAAGAATTAGCTACTGTATTACTAATGAAAAGAGAAATATAATCAGAAATATATTGGAAAGATGAAAGTTATCACATAATTAGTCTCTTGTTCATTCATAAATAATGAACTTCATGTTTAATTTCATTGTCACTGGTAACAATAACATAATCAAAGATTACACAATCTTATAATATATGTTACTTTCCTTTAATTCCATTTAATACCCATATCCACCAAGTGAACCCTTCTGTAAGCTTGTGGTTTACACCCATATAGGTGCCTTCCATTTCTGGAAGTTAATTTATCTGTGGCTTTTCTGCCATAAGTGTGGGTGGAAGGGGTCTCACACTATGTGGGAAGGCTTGCAACATGAGAAAAAAAACAATTCTGTTCTATTTTCACACTTCTAATCTTTCCAAGTACCCGGAGATGGAAAAGTGATGCAAAGACATAAAATGCAAGACCAAAACGAAGGGTACGTCTATACTTACCTCCGGGTTCGGCGGTAAGCAATCGATCTTCTGGGATCGATTTATCACGTCTTGTCTAGACGCGATAAATCGATCCCGGAAGTGCTCGCCGTCGACACCGGTACTCCTGCTCCACGAGAGGAGTATGCGGAGTCGACGGGGGAGCCTGCCTGCCGCATGTGGACCCGCGGTAAGTACCTTGTAGTTCAAACTAAGATATTTCGACTTCAGCTACGTTATTCACGTAGCTGAAGTTGCGTATCTTAGTTCGAACTGGGGGGTTAGTGTGGACCAGCCCTAAGAGACTAAAGCATAGAATCAGGACGCAACATTCACATATCCTGCAGTCTGAACTTGGAGATTGACAGACTCATTCCCTAATGGGTTACCATCACTTACACAGAAGGAAAGTCCTTATTGTCCAGACAAATTGGGATCCATGAGGAAGGAATGTCTTGAGAAAAAGAATTCATGCTTCACTTTGCCTTGTGAAACTTTGGATTCAAACAGTGAAGGACCATTTCAATCTAACCGTGGCATCTTTGGGACTCTAATCAATGCCACTGAACTAGCGAGTTGTGTTCTAAGCACAATTTTACTTGGACCGTAGCTCACCACAGCTTTCATCTCTGCAGTGAAAACCAACTACTGGGTGCCTGCTGTTTCTACCTATGTTCTTGCCAAATCCTTGGTCTGGATGGGGGCAAATTGACATTTCTCTGGAGAAGAATCCTTTACCAAACCAGCCAAAAATCTCAAAAGTGCCGGTGAGGCATGGCTTCTCCAAACATGCCCAGTTTATTTTTTTAATCTGATGGAACAGGTCTAAACTGGAAACTAAATATATGTCTGGATGAGAATCACTATATGGTACAAGACGTGGGGGGTTTATTCAAAAAGAGTAAACTTGCTGCAGCTGTCTGACATTAAACATCAATTTTATTTTATACACATCTGAAGCATTACAAAGGGGGAGTTCAAAAACAACAACAATAAAAACCACTATTTTCTCCACAGCTGCATTGCTAGAGACACTACTTCTCTCTGTTAGGATTAGCTAGGAGATATCTTCAGGAATAACCACCTCTAAGGCCTGGGTCACAACTGTTTTGAGAACATAAGAATGGCCAGACTGGGTCAGGCCAAAGATCCATCAAGCCCAGTTTCCTGTCTTCCGACAGTGGCCAATGGCATGTGCCCCAGACGGAATGAACAGACAGGTTATCATCAAGTGATCCATGTCCTGTCACCCAATCCCAGCTTCTGGAAAACAGAGGCTAGGGTCACCTTCCCTGCCCATCCTGAGTAATAGCCATTGATGGACCTATCCTCCATGAATCTATCTAGCTCCCTTTTGAACCCCGTTATAGTATTGGCCTTCACAACACCCTCTGGCAAGGAGTTCCACAGGTTGACAGCGCGTTGTGTGAAAAAATACTTTCTTGTGTTTGTTTTAAACCTGCTACCTATTCATTTCATTTGGTGGCCCCTTGTTCTTGTATTAGAGAAACCAATGCACGCGCATTTTGCCTAGTTCCAAGTAATTTACTGGGGAACCCTTTCCCCAGATTATTTGAAATAATTTCTGATTTAAATAATTGAACAAAACTGTGATTATACCCGGTGATGTAAGTTACTTGCACCATTTGAGGTGTGCCGTGGTTCACCATTTCAAACGGGAGGAGATGTAAAACTGCAACTGTTTCCTCTATAGCATATCCCATAATGGAGAATATTCTCTCTGGCTGACTGAGCTGCATTTGAACATTTCCCATCACGGAGGGATGAGGGGAAACCATAAATAAAGGAAGAAATGACCATTGAAGCAAATGGTCATTTGTCTCAAAGTCCCCAATACATCTGAACTACATTCTGCCAAAGAAAACTAATATCCAGTTGTGTGACCAAGCAGCCTTCAGGAAAGAGAGAAAAATCTACCTCTCAGAGAGGTACAGACGCTCCCCAGCTTACGCAAACCCGACTTACGGAAAACTGGATTTACGGAAAAAGTTCTGTAACCTTTTTTTTTTTTCCGCGTAATTGTCAGAGATACGTTCCCGACTTATGCAAAATTAGACTTACGCAAGGCGTTCCGGCACAGAATGTTTGCGTAAGTTGGGGAGCTTCTGTATAAGACATTTTCTGTTGCAGACAGAATGAGATTCTAGAGCAGGTTACATCTGATGACTCAGAATCAGGACCACCGATTTTCCCATTGCATTGTCCTCGGATCCACTGAAACCTGCTTCTCTCAGCGCTGTCTCGTTATTCAGTTGCCTTATTTGCAAAAGTTTTAGCTTCATGATAATGGTTTGTCTAGACTAGGAAATTGGACTAGATTGGAACAGGTCAAGGGAAAATATATGAGCTAACCCATACTAGTATATTCGGGCTATGTCGGTATAGAGAACACAGCTGTGATTTTATATCTGGAGAGCTCACTGGAGCTAGCGAACTACAAAAACATGCCAATGGAGACAAGGCCAAGGTAGATTTGACCACAATCTGACTAACTGATGTTGTTTGTATTTCACCAACCTGGGGATGATGCGCATTCCTAGTAAGAGGGACTCATACGCCTCTGACTCACAGAACAAAGCAGTTGATAGAAAGGGTCTCTGGAGATTTACCCCAAAGAAGGGCAAGCTGCAAAAAACAAAATTGGACCATTGTACCTGGGAACACAATGAAGTAAATGGCGCGAACAGCCTTAAAGGCCACATGTGGGAATTAGCAAAAATATTACAGAAAAAAAAACTTTTATTGTTAGCCTTGGACAAGGTATTTATGGTATTTATATCCTTTGTGGCTTCTCTGATGAGAAATAAGGTGTGACCTCTGATAGAAGCTTTTCCCACTCTCAGAGCATCTGTAGGGCGTCTATCCTGCATGGACCATCTTTGATCTCTTAAGGTCTTTCTCCGATCTGGATTTCCCGCACTCACAACATTCCTCGCCCACAGACAACCCGCCAACCTTAAGCATATTCTCACCAGCAACCACACACCACACCATAGTAACTCTAACTCAGGAACCAATCCATGCAACAAACCTTGATGCCAACTCTGCCCACATATCTACACCAGCGACACCATCACAGGACCTAACCAGATCAGCCACAACATCACGGTTCATTCACATGCACATCCACCAATGTTATATATGCCATCATGTGCCAGCAATGCCCCTCTGCTATGTACATTGGCCAAACTGGACAATCCCTACGTAAAAGGATAAATGGACACAAGTCAGATATCAGGAATGGCAATATACAAAAACCTGTAGGAGAACACTTCAACCTCCCTGGCCACACAATAGCAGATTTAAAGGTAGCCATCTTACAGCAAAAAAACTTCAGGACCAGCCTCCAAAGAGAAACTGCTGAGCTCCAGTTCATTTGCAAATTTGACGCCATCAGCTCAGGATTAAACAAAGACTGTGAATGGCTATCCAACTACAGAAGCAGTTTCTCCTCCCTTGGTGTTCACATCTCAACTGCTAGAAGAGGGCCTCATCCTCCCTGATTGAACTAACCTCGTTATCTCTAGACTGATTCTTGCCTGCATATTTATATCTGCCCCTGGAAATTTCTACTACATGCATCTAGCAATGTGGGTATTCACCCACGAAAGCTTATGCTCCGATACGCCTGTTAGTCTATACGGTGCCACAGGACTCTTTGTCGCTTTTTACAGATCCAAACGAACACGGCTACCCCTCTGATACTTAACATTCACAGGGTCGTCTCTCTCCTTTCTGGATTGTCTGACGATTAATAAGGGCTGATCAAACAGAAAAGTTTTTTCTATCGTCACAGCATTCCTAGGGCTCCTGGCAAGCATGGGTTCTCTGATGTCTAATAAGGTGTGAGCGTCGAGTGAAGGCTTTCCCGCACTCGCAGCATCCATAGGGGCTTGAGCCTCCGTGGGTTATCTGATGTCTAAGAAGGTGTGAGCGTCGAGTGAAGGTTTTCCTGCACTCACAGCATTCATAGGGGCTTGAGCCTCCGTGGGTTATCTGATGTTCAATAAGGTGTGAGCGTCGAGTGAAGGTTTTCCCGCACTCGCAGCATCCATAGGGTCTTTCTCCTGTGTGGATTCTCCGATGTCTAAGAAGATGTGAGTGTCGAATGAAGGTTTTCCCGCACTCGCAGCATGCGTAGGGTCTCTCTCCCGTGTGAATTCTCTGATGTTCAATAATGTGGGAGCGCCAAGGGAAGGTTTTCCCACAGTCGGGGCACATGTTTTCTCTCTCTCCCATGAGGATTCGCTTCTGGGACATGGTTTCCTGGTGATTTTCCTCACAACTGATGGATTGACCTACTTCCTCCCCTGGCTGGTTTCCCTGCTGCTCGTCTTCACAACTCCTGGACACGTCCCCTTCAGTGCTTTGTGATGATCCCCCATTCATTTCCATGTGCTCAGCATCTTCCTGCTCTGGGTTCTGCTCCTTCTTCTCACTCACCATCCCACCATCTCCTGAGACAGAGAGAGAAACCTCAGAAGCAGGGATGGAAAATGGGGAAAGGAAACCAAAGGAAATGCTAGAGAGATGGGGGAAAAGATTGGGAAATGAATTCCCCCAAACCCTTCCCTATAGGGGAGAGAGGAGGGGATCAACTCTGTCTCCACATCCCATCCCAATGCTCAGGATGAAGGGAGATTAGGAAGTGAGCTATTGCAACATGTTGATCAGGATGGGTAGGAAGCCATGAGCGATATCTGCTCTGAGGATATGAGATCTGCTAGGGGACAATCCTGAACTCAAAGAGCTCTCAAGGTCTTGGTAGGGAATCCCAGCTGTGTCCTTCAGGCACAGACAGTATTTGAGTTGGTCTAATGATTCCTCACCTGGGCAGATTCCTATCAGGATCTCTCTTGCCTCCGAGCCCTGGAGATCTGAGACCCACGGCTCTTCCCCTGGTTTCAGCTGGGACATCACCTCAGGTTTGGAAAGTGGAAACCCTGCTCGGATGACAGAAAACAAATGAGATCAGGTGAATTCATGGGATATTTGTCACAAAGATCATGGCTTTTTTTAAACCTCTGCTCATTTTAAAGCCCTGACATTCTGGAGCTAACTGTCCAGGTGTTCAAAGGTGCCAGACACTTAGTTTATAAAGGGATTAATTCTCCATCTTTCTGCTGGCGCAAACGCAACCAGACACTCCTGTTCAAAGGGGCTCCTTTGAAGACCCAGAGAGAGTAACTCCATATCACAGAAAGCCCAGGGGAAGTCACCTTGGGACTGCTTTTTACCGACAAAGACCCCCCGAAGGGAATGAGACAGTCATAGGGGAACTGGGGCTGGGGAGTATGCCCTTGCGGGGCTCAGCATTGTAAGGAATAGGAAGAAGAGGGTAGCATGTCATGGGTGTTAGGGATCAGGAAAGCTCATTTTGAGAAGTTAGGGAATAGAGCGAGTCAGGTGTAATGGAAAGGAGCGTGAAAATCCCCCAGTGCCTGGGGAAGGTTATAGAATGAATCACAGTAATGTGGGGCTGGAAGGGACTCGGAGAGGTCATTTATTCCAGCCCATGCACTGAGGGAAGGAACAAGTAATCCAAGACCATCCCTGAGAGTTATTTGTCTAAACTGTTCTTAAAAGTTTCCAATGGTGGGGATTCCACAACCTCCCTTGGAATCCTATTCCAGAGCTTAACTACCCTTGTGGTCACAATGTTTTTCTTAATATCTAACCTAACTTGCCCTTGCTCCATATTTAAGATTGAGTACGGTCTTTCAACCACTTATATTAATTTCATCTAGACCACTGTGACTCGGGGCCAGAAAGGGTTAAGCAGCTCGCAGGCTAATTGACCCAGATTCAACTTTTACAGACACGTTAGAAAGGTATGTAACTGGTAATTGGGGCCATTCCATGCTAGATAGGCTATACTTCGAAATGCAAACCTGTATTGTTAGAGAATGAGAGATGATGCTAATTTTATGTGATTTCTACTTAACTAAGATGTTAGCCACGTAAACAGACAGTTCCTGTCTTACTATAGCGATTGATTCAGAGATCAAAAGGGAATATTAACATTTAGATGAATCTTGGGTGAAATAATGTCATTGTCTATATATCTGTTTAAAGTTTGTGATAAACTGCTCAATGGATAAATTACCTTATGTAAATCCATGTAGTTAATTACCGGTGACGTGTGGGAAACAGAAGGTTACATCAAAAGCCTATTGTTCACTCAGGAGTGTGAAAGAACTCTTTGCAACTCCAAAGCTCTCCATCGCTACTATGAATCTGATCTCAGAACTGTACTTGTGTCTGTGTGTATCCTGATCTTTTAACCAATACTCGCTCTCTTTTCTTTTTTAAGAAATTTTAGTTTAGTTAATAAGAATTGGCTGTCAGGGTGTATTTGGGTAAGATCTGGAATATTCATTAACCTAGGAGGTAATGTGTCTGATCCTTTGGAATTGGTAGAACTTTCTGATATGATGAATACGATTTTCAGTGATCCTCATCATATTTGACTTGGGTGTCTAGGTGGAGGCGTACGGCTGGGTTGCTTTAAGGGAACTGTGTTGTTGGCTTCCGGGTAACCAGGAAGGTATTATAGATGCTGTTTTGTGCTAGTTTGGTAAATCTAAGTGTTGGAATATGCACCAGATTTGGGGATTGTCTGCCCCATTCTTCACAGTTCACCCTAACTGAGTGACCCCTGTGAGGCTCCCCTGGGACCCTGGTCACATAGGGAATGTGGAGTAGATTAGGACAGGTCAAGAGAAAATATATGAGCTAACCCAAAGAGGATGGAGCTCGGCTGTTCTCAGTGGTGGCAGATGACAGAACAAGGAGCAATGGTCTCAAGTTGCAGTGGGGGAGATCTAGGTTGGATATTAGGAAACACTTTTTCACTAGGAGGGTGGTGAAGCCCTGGAATGGGTTACCTAGGGAGGTGGTGGAATCTCCTTCCTTAGAGGTTTTTAAGGTCAGGCTTGACAAAGCCCTGGCTGGGATGATTTAGTTGGGGATTGGTCCTGCTTTGAGTAGGGGGTGGGACTAGATACCTCCTGAGGTCTCTTCCAACCCTCATCTTCTATGATTCTAACCCAGGGGCCATGTCAGTATAGAGAACATAGTTGTGATTTTACATCTGGAGAGCTCACTGGAGCTAGCAAACTAAAAACACATGCTAATGGAGACAAGGCCCAGGTAGATTTTACCACCGTGACGCTAACTGACGTAATTTCTGTTTCCCCCACCTGGGGCTGACATGCATTCCTTGTAAGAGGGACTCATACTCCCATGACTCATGGAACAAAGCAGTTGGTAGAAAGGATCTTTGGGGATTCACCCCAAAGAATCATAGAATCATAGAATATCAGAGTTGGAAGGGACCTCAAGAGGTCATCTAGTCCAACCCCCTAGGGGAAGCTGCAGAAAGCAAAACCAGACCACTCACCTAGGGGAGCCGAGACCACAATGAAGTAAATGGCACTAGTGTTACAACTCAATGACCTCCTTAGGGAGTTCCTTGGGGAGGCAGATCAGCATTGTATGTTGCTAACGCTGTTGCAGGCATTGCAAGGCATTTTGGGAAGGGTTAAAGGTGTGAGTTTTTTTGCAGGGTGCGAGAGGCCGTAGAGGGAGGAAGGGAGAAGAGAAAGGGTTAACTTAACGCCTTAGCTCAGTTTAAAAATAAAATGCTAAAACCAGTTCAAGGTCACTGCGCTTGAACAGACTTTATGCAGCCAAAAAGCCTGCAGCCGTCTTTGTATCTGACCCAACCCCAGCCAGCCGTGAGAAATGAGAAGCTAAACAAAACTGCAAAAAAACTAGTGAGACAGTGAAGGCCAGCGAGGGGGAAAACAACAAATCTGTGTCCCTAAAGCCAGTGTATTTTGGGAAAGCTGAGGAAGCCACAAAAAGCCAGTTTAAACAGGTACAAAAAGCACAAAAAACAAAAGTCCCTAAACAAAACACCCCCAAAAGACCCCAGGACTTAAAACCCTCCTGAGAGCTGAAGGAAATCGGAAATCGACAGTGGACCCTAGACAGCCTGTGCACAGAACAAAACTCTCATCTACCCTTCCCTCTCTTCTTCTTACATTATATCCAGGGTTGGCCAGCCTTGGGTTGTGCGTGTGTCACGGAGTGTGGGGGGAGACAAGGCCCTGCACCCCCGGCTTCCTGCGATTCACCATGACTCTCAGCCAGCCAGTAAAGCAGAAGGTTTATTTAGACGACAGGAACACAGTCCAAGACAGGTCTTGCAGGCACAGACAACAGGACCCTCCCCCCCAATTGGGTCCATCTTGGGGTTCCAGGGGCACCACAGCCCCATTGGGGGGGGAGGTCAGAGCCCCGTCTGGGCTCCGCTCCATTACACCAGCCAGCTCCTGAAACTCTCATTCTCTCCAGCTCCTCCCCCAGCCTTTGTCCAGTTTCCCGGGCAAAGGTGTCACCTGGCCCCAGCCCCCTCCTGGGTTCTCACGTTACATGCTCAGGCATCCTCCCTCAAGGCCAGTCTCCCATCCCCCAGTGCAGACCGTCCTAGCCACACTCCCCTGCCTTCCCAGGCCAACATTCCCCACTCAGCATTCAAAGACCATATTAAGAACAGTCCTAGTTCATCACAGCGTGTGTGAGTATGAAAGTGGGTTAGGACTCGGGCATTAACGCTTTCTTCCTTCCTCTGAGTGACGTGCGGCGCACCCAGCACTTACCGCTGTTATTTTATTAATAAAGCGTTAAAACAAACATTTGCTGTGCTCCTTCATCCCCTCCCCTGACGATCCGGCGGCTTCAGCCTGATCTCCTGACACCTCAGGCAGATTGGTAACAGAAATCTGTCACAGTAGCAGCCTTAAAGGCCACATTACGAAAAGTATTAAAGAAAAAAAACCCTTGTTTGTTGTGAGCCCTAGAGAAGGTTTTTATGCTATCGCCCTTGTGCCTTCGCGGTTGATAAATAAGGTGTGAGCTCTGATGGAAGCTTTTCCCATACTCAGATTGTCTATAGCCTGTCTATCCTATGTGGACCATCTAATATCTCCTAAGGTCTGAGCGGTAAATGAAGGTTTTCCCACACTCGCATTCATAGGGTCTTTACCCTTGGTGGAGTCTCCAATGATTAATGAGGGCTTCTCTGCCAGAAAAGTGTTTTCTATACTCACAGATTTCATAGGGCCTGGTGCCGGTGTGGGTTCTCTGATGTCTGATAAGGTGGGAGCCTCGCGTGAAGGTTTTCCCGCACTCACAGCACGCGTAGGGTCTCTCTCCTGTGTGGATCCTCTGATGTATAATGAGGTGTGAACGCACAGAGAAGGTTTTCCCGCACTCCCCGCATTCATATGGTCTCTCTCCGGTGTGGATTTTCTTATGTCTGATAAGATGTGAGCTTCGACTGAAGGTTTTCCCGCACTCACAGCATGCGTAGGGTCTTTCTCCTGTGTGAATTTTCTGATGCATAATAAGGTGAGAGCGCCCAGGAAAGGTTTTCCCACACTCAGTGCATAGGTTTTTTCTCTTTCCTGTGAGGATTTTCTGCTGAGCTGTGGTTTCCTTGAGGTCCTTGTGATTTTCCTCACAACTGATGGATTTACCCATGTTTTCCCCTGCCTGGTTTCCCTGCTGCCTTTCCTCACGACTCCTGGGCACGTTCCCTTGAGTTCTTTCTGATAATCCCCCGTGCAGGTCCATATGCTCAGCATCTTCCTGCTTTAGATTCTGCTCCTTGTTCTCACTCACTGTCCCACCACCTGCTGGGACAGAGAAACCTCAGAAGCAGGGACGGAAAATATCAGGAAATGAATCCCCCAAACTCTTCCCCAGAGGGTATAATGGAGGGGATCAACTGTCTCCACATCCCATCCCACCGGTCAGGATAAAGGGAGGTTAGGAAGGGAGCTATTGCAACATGTTGATCAGGATGGGTAGGAAGCCACAAGCGACATCAGCCCTGAGGATACACCACCTGCTGAGGGACAATCCTGAACTCGAAGAGCTCTCAAGGTCTTGGTAGGGAATCCCAGCTGTGGCCTTCAGGCACAGACAGTATTTGAGTTGGTCCAATGATTCCTCACCTGGGCAGGTTCCTGTCAGGATCTCTCTTCCCTCCGAGCCCTGGAGATCTGAGACCCACAGCTCTTCCCCTGGTTCCAGCTGGGACATCACCTCAGGTTTGGAAAGTGGAAACCCTGCTCAGATGACAGAAAACAAGTGAGATCAGGTGAATTCATGGGACATTTCTCCCAAAGAACACTAGCCTTTTTTAAAACCCCTGCTCATTTTAAAGCCCTGGCATTCTGGAGCGAGCTCTCCAGGTGCTCAAAGGTGCCAGATACTGGTTATAATGTGATTAATTCCTCACTGCTCTGCTTCCCACTTGTTCAAAGGGGCTCCAGAGAGAGTAACTCCATATCACAGAAAGCCCAGGGGAAGTCACCTTGGAACTGCTTTTTACCGACAAAGACCCCCTCAAGGGAACGAGACAGTCATAGGGGAACTGGAGCTGGGGAGCATGCACTTGTGGGGCTCAGCATTGTAAGGAATGGGAAGGAGTGGGCAGATCACTGAGCACAGTATGTCGGTGTGTTAGGGATCAGGAAAGCCCATTTTGAGAAGTTAGGGAATAGAGCGAGTCAGGAGTAATGGAAAGGAGCGTGAAAATCCCCCAGTGCCTGGGGAAGGTTTTAGAATGAGAGAATCACAGAAATGTGGGGCTGGAAGGGACTTGGAGAGGTCATTTAATCCAGCCCATGGACTGAGGCAGGAACAAGTGAACCTAGACCATCCCTGAGAGGTATTTGTCTTTCTTAAAAACTTCCAGAGATGGGGATTCCATAGCTTCCCTTGTAATCCTTTTCCAGAGCTTAACTACCCCTGTGGTTACACTTTTCCTCCTAACATCTAACCTAAATCGCCCTGGCTGCAGATTAAAATGGAGTCCGGTCTTTCAAACAGATTTGTACCCACTCTATAATAATTGTATCTAGACCCCATTTCCCTAGTTTCCTTATGAGAATGGCCCGTGGGACTGTGTCAAAGGACGTACCTAAATTAAGATAAGGCAAATCTGCTGCTTCCCTGTAATGCCCGAGGCCAGTAACCCTGTCAAAGAAGGAAATTAGCTCGGTGCGGTATGATTTGTTCTTGACAAACACATGCCGATTATTCCTCATAATGCCATTATCCTCCAGGTGCTGACAAACTGATCGGTTCATAATATGTTCCGGTGTCTTTCCAGTTAGGCGGACTGATCTATAATTCCTCAGGTCCTCTTTGTTCTCCTTTTTAAAGGTAGGTTCTGTGTTTGTACTTCATCTGCCCTCCATGAGTTTTCAAAGATAATTGCTAATGTTTCTGAGATTGCCTCATCTAGTCCCTGAAGTACCTAGGATGAGTTTAGGGGATTAGATATTATAACTCAGTAGCAACGGACTAATTCCTCTGGAAAAGGAGACTATGAAAAGTAAGAATAAGACCGTGTGATCTCAGGAGGGGCTGCCTCAAAGATCCAAGGAGCCTGCAGAGAAGAGAGAATGTGGCTCCTGCATAAAGGGAAGGGGGGAGCGAGACCCTCCAAGTCCCCAGAAGTTTCATTACCAATTTAGGACGTCACCAAGAGCAAAGAAGTCAGCTTGTGACTGGGAGGAGTGTAAGGAATCAGGATCGGTGGCTGGGGTCCCAGTGTGTAGGGAATGGGGGGCGGGTGTGGCGGGGGTAGGTAGTGCACGGTGCAGAGAGAACGAGAATCATAATAGTTGTGATTGTGTAAAACCAAGTGAAAGTGGAGTCTGGTTAGGATGCAATACAGGTCACCAGCAACGGGGACTGGGCAGGGATTCTTTCATAACAGACTGGCATCCCCTGCAGCTCTAACTCCCCGAACCACCCCTCTTCCCCCCACTAACCCCACCCTCCCCACTTACCAGGTGACTCTCAAATCTTAAATTGACCCATCACTCTGAGGGGTGAAAAATCCACACCTGTGAATGACCTAATTAAATTGACTTAAACTCAGTGCAGTCATAAGAACATGACATAAGAACGGCCGTATTGGGTCAGCCCAAAGGTCCATCCAGCCCAGTATCCCGTCTGCCGACAGTGGCCAATGCCAGGTGCCCCAGAGGGAGTGAACCTAACAGGTAATGATCAAGTGATCTCTCTT